CTCCTTTAGGGCTTTGACCGCCGCCTCTTTGCCTAGCTTTGGTATCTCCACCACCACTATGTCTTGCCGTGCGTCCAGCGATGGCGCCATGTACTCGCACATCTTTGGGTTTTCATTTAGGATCTCTTCCGTCAAGTACATGTGACGCTTCCTTATCATTGCTTTCTCACCTGCAGTAAATTAGTTTTAACATATGTAAATATGAATTGCAATTACACCAGCTCAATGGCAAATATATGAAAATACAAACTAATACGATATATATATATAACTTATTATAATCGTCAGATTAATAGTTTACAGTTAAAATAATGAATATTATTGATAGATAAATATGAGAGTAATCATAAAACTATATATAATATATTTCAATCTTTATATGGAGAAATTCGCATGATTTTCTTCCGTGGGTATATGTTTGCTCATGTATGTGCACCTTAAGTACCTTCTATTAATTTTTAAGCCTACATATGTGACAAAGGCGGAACATTATATATCCATGATGAATCAGCATAAACAATATATTGTAACGAATCTTGTAGCAAATATATATATATATATATATATAATAAGGAATCTGTTAGCATATGATAGCTATAAAAGATTATTAAGCATATAATTGCATGAAAAAAGATCAAAATGAATCTGGAGATGAATTAATTAAAAGGTACATACACATGCGTCTAAACTTGTGCTTGAGTTCAGTTTTGTGCTCGCTGTTGGTGATTCGGAAGTAGAAGTCGGGATAATCAGCCTGCATGAAGAAGTTGGGCGGGTTGGCGGTGCCGATGGCCAGCACGGCGGCCGGTCCCTCGGCCCGCTGTGCCTTCCGGATTTCTTGGACGGAGGTTGCCATGCTGATTAATGTAATGTCGGACTTTGCTAGATTATATTGCTTTATATAATATGATCAACAAAAGCTCACAACAAACTAGCTTAGCTGAGTTGCTATTTGTTGAGTTGAAACAAACACAAGTTAGCATGTATATATATATACACTCTCGGAGATGTTCATGTACACTAATTAATAAGTTTATGTGAGGGCTGTCAAGTGGGTAGCTAGGTTTTGAACCACGTGAGCTTTTGGGAGTTGGGGTTAGGCTGCTCAACTGGTGACAGATATAAAATATCATGTGATCACATTTTCCTTTTTGTCTTTTAGTATTGCATTAATCATGTTTTCATCTCCAAGTATTTTGGTGATGGGAAATTAAATATGATAGCGGTCGATATTTATCAATCGTAGTTGTAAAATCATATGAAACAAAAAAAAAAAAAAAAAAGAGTTTCTTGGACGGAGGTTGCCTTGCTAATTACTACTAATTATAATATTCAATATAATGTTGGACTTTGCAAGATAATATTGCTCGCTTTACGGACTGTATTATCAACAAGAGCTATAACAACCTAGCTTTAGCTAATTTGCAACTTGTTGAATTGAAGGCCTCATTCATTTGAGTGATTTGAGTTTTCAATTCTAAGTTTTTATAATTAAAAATTCTTAAAAAATATCACATTTAATTTTTTTTGCTATAGTTAAAAATTTTCAAAAAATATCACATTTCAGTTGAAATTAAAAACTAAAATTGCGAAACGAGCAAGGCGGAAAAGAACACGAGTTTGCATGTATATATACACACACACACACGAGCTGTTGGGTCCGGCTGCTCAACCAGCGGCTGCCACACTTTGCATATTAGTAATTTCGCCAACCAATCATATTTTTTTTCAAGTATTTTGTGATAGCTGGGAAAATCTAAATTTTTAATACCGGCCGATAATTATCATTAATTTACAGTTGTAAGTTAGAAACCATAATATATATATATATATATATAATAGTTACGTTAATATTTATTTATTAATGAGTATTATTATTTTAATTGTAAAATATTTATCTAACAGTTGTGAAAAATTAAATAATTAATAAAAATATTTATAATAATTAATAAAATTAAATTTTTATCACGTTGTGTTATTAAATTATTATCGGTATATATGAAAAGTAAATATATATATATATATATATATATATATATATATATATATATATATATATATATATATATATATATATATATATATATATATATATATATATATATATATATATATATATATATATATATATATATATATATATATATATATATATATATATATATATATATATATATATATATATATATATATATATATATATATATATATATATATATATATATATATATATATATATATATATATATATATATATATATATATATATATATATATATATATATATATATATATATATATATATATATATATATATATATATATATATATATATATATATATATATATATATATATATATATATATATATATATATATATATATATATATTAGTCTTCTAAGTCAAAATCTTGACTTTGACGAGGAAGAAGTATTTCCAAGGAAAGTTTCAATACGTCATTAAACTATATGATGCCTCATTTGTTTCCTTGTCGTGTTTAGTGAAATCCTTTTGCTATTGTTTACACGATGAAGAAATAACATCCTTTTAGTTATTCTTTTTCTTTTAAATGCCTTTTTGTTGTTCTTTGGTTGTAACTTATTATTCTGTTTAATTTTTTATGGATTATTCATCTTTATCACAGTCAAGCACTAGAGTTGTAAAAACAAAAAGAACATAAAACAATTGTTTGATATTGATTTTGATTCCTTTTAAAACATTTCTATACATACTTTGAGACACGAAAATAAAGTCAGCTTCTAAACAATTTTCTGTCAGTAAATACTTTGAAGACGAGGATGAAAATAGAAAAAATAGTTAGAATAAATTTTGTTAAGAACGTAAAAATTAACTGAAAAAGTTATTTTCCCGTTTCTAGAAAATAATGTAATTGATTTATAGCTTGTGTCATATAATGTCATTGTCATGAAATAGTCCTTTCATCTGCACCAAACAAGAAGGAAAAAATCAGCAAAAACCAAAGCACACAAGAATAATGTCTCGGAAATTCTCACTCACATCCTCTCACTTTTCTCGAAAAGTTTCCCAGAATTAGAAGCCAAGAATTTTCACCCTCACTACAACAAAAAGGGTTATTAGCGACGACATTTATCATTGCTACAATTACAGTATTAACAACAACATGTAGTCGCTAAAAAGAAAACAAAAATTTTTGAATGACTTGTCGTCGCGTTAACTATTTGTGACGACATGTCGTTGCACAAAATTTCACTATTTACGATGACATATCGTCGCTAAAATTTGACAAATTATTCACGATGACATGTCGTTGCTAATGGCCATTGGCGCCAATTTGTCTATTATTTGTGAGGACATGTTGTCGCAAATATTGATACTTACAGCTGGTGGTGACGGTGTCCAAAAAGGGGTAGAAAATTTGGCAGTTTCCTGCGAATAGGTTCCAGATATTTCTTTATTTTTTGCGACGACATATTGAAAAATCGTCGCAAAAAATGGTTCCAAAAAATTCTTTTCAGAATGACTGTTTTTGTGACGACACGTGTCGTCACAAATAATGGTTCCAGAAAAATCTAACAAGAATGACTATTTTTTACGACGACTTGTTTAATAATGTCGTCGCAAATAACTGTGGATTTAATTTTCCTCAAAAAAAAGATCGGAAACTTTGGGGGTTTCTTTAAAAATATTTGTGATGACATTTTAACAAAGTCGTCACAAAAAATGAGCAAGGGTATATTCCTCAAGAATATTCTCAGAAATATTTATGAGATGAAGAAGAACGACGTCGTTTTTATATTAATTGTGATGACTATTTAATATTTTTTGCGACGACATTTGTCCTCGCAAAAAAAGTCACGTGTGTAAACGCGATCGCAGATCTCCTTCCACCATTTTTTTCGGTGAGCTCTCGCGTTTTCTATGATTTTCTCCATCCAAAACCTCCAAAAACCGTAAAAAAAACACTGAAAATAGCTTAAATATATCGTTCTCTCCTCAAATCTTTCATGTGTGGAGAAAAAAGTCCAAAAAGCGGAGTTTTCATCTGCCCCTTGCCGCCCACTTTTTTGGCCATGCTCGTCGTTTTCCGGCCGCTCTGCCTTTCCGTTTTCCAACCCCCGGTGTTTGTGGGTTGGATTTTGTGAGTCCATATTTTACTATTTTGCAAATTGATTTTAGTATTTGTTGTGGTTTGTTGTTTTATTTTGGGTTTTGAATTTATTTGTGGTTTTAGATTTAGAATTGCGAATTGTAAATTTGAACTAGAATTAGAATATGTGGTAATTAGATTGTAATTTGTATAAAATTTATCTAATGATTAAAAAAATTAGCTTAAAATTTTAATTAGTTTTACATTAATAATAAAATAATTAAATAAACT